CTGCGGGCAGGGTGCCGGGCCCCTTGCAGCTGCCGGGACAGGCAGCGTGGGCGAGGGGAAGCAGCCCTTGCCCTCCTCGCACCTCTGTCGTGCTGTTGAAACAGCCGTCAGTCAGTCTGTAGGTACAGTTAAGTCTGTCACGTGGGTATCTTCGACGCGGTGGCCGGGCGGTTGGGTGAGGTTTGTCTTCTCCTGTTTCTGTTCACCTTTTCTCTGTGCTGTGCTCCCTCTGCACTGATCATCTGCAGTGGTCTGAACCGTTGCTGCAAAGGAGGATTATCTTTCATTTAAGAAGATGGAAACTCATTACTTAAACCTCATTTTATTGTTCATCCTATCCTCAAAACTGCAGACATTCAGTTACTAAACACAGGGAGAGCACGAGCATCCTTAACATCTTAAAATCCAATCAGGAAGGTATTTTTGAAAACTGACGTTTGGACTACATCTAGCAAGGGGAAAGAGCTGTCACTCAGCACAGATCTGTTTATAAATACGGCTCTCAAGACAACTGACAATTGTAGTGGGGCTAATTCTTCTAGCAGCATTGGCATAACACCATCAGGGCTGTCTGGCACTGCACAGGATATTTCTTCCATGAAAGAAAACTAATCCTGAGCAAGATGGTTTTAGTGTGAGTTATGTTCCTTAAAGTGCTATTGCAGCAAGTAAAACAAGTGGCATCATTTCTCAGTGTTTTAAAATGAACTACCCTGAAATCAATATGGATTTATTCCTTGTCTCTTCCCACAGTATCCAGAAGATCTTTCCATTCCTCCTTCAGCCAAAAATGTATCTTCATTTAATGCATATCATGTATTGCACCTGCTGTAAAACAGAATGTACGTCTGATTGACTGTCTTGAACTGATCAGTCCCTGCCCCCAAGCAATTCTGGCTGACTCGGTGGTGATGAATAGTGCCCCTATGGATTTAGAGCTAACTGCGATGCCAGACTTAACAGATTCTATGTTTCACTAAATAATGGTTTCACTTCCTTTTTTGTATGAAAGTGTGATTTCTAGTCATATTTTTTTCATTCATAATCTGAGTAATGCCTGACTGTTTAATTTACATGAAGTCTCGCCTTGTTTAGTTGTATAAGATGTCCAAAGGCTGCCTATAGTGGCTTGGATTTTTCAGGGCTTTATGGTTTGTAGTTTTAAAAATCAGAAGTCAAATTTGGTTGTAGTGGGAGTTACACAGCTCCAGCTAGACTGAGATGATGACCTTACTAGTGTTTTTCCGTACCAGAAGCAGATACCCATGGTTCTGAACCTCTTACCCAGACTCTTTGTGGGCTGTAACTGGCTGATTAAAAAGCAGAGTTTAGGTCAGCTGCTTCTGGTTTCCATGTGGGATAAATGCATGTTTTGGAGCAACTTTAGGAAGCAGTCTTTGAGCAGAGACTTTGGGGCAACTTTGGTCCAGCAATGGAACTTTCACCAAGAAATGGCTCTGGAGCAAAACAAACTGTTTTGAGCATCAGAGTGTCACCGGATTGTGGGTTCTCCTGAAGACTCTGGCTACCGTTCCAAAGAACCTTATTCCCAAGAAACAGCTCAGCCAGCCCAACAGCAGCACCTTTGGCCTTGTTAGAGGAAACTTTCTGTCTGAATGGCAGGCGCTCAGCTGGCTCACTCCAGTAAGAACAAGTCTAACAGAGCAGGGAGTCTGTCCTTGCTGCTTATTACTGCTGCGATAATCTGATACGCAGTTACTTGCTAACAGAACTGTTACAACTATTTCTGATTATCTGACCGACTTTTGCACTGCTGGCTGTAGTAATGTACCAAAAAATTGCCCATTAGCCAATAGTAGAGTGTGAGTCTCGATTCACTCAGGGTGGTTACCAAATCCAAATCTCAGGCTTGTGGGAGAGTTGCTCCCTGCAGGAAGAGATGCACTAGCCCACAAACACTTCGTTAGTATGAAACTTTGCACTACAGGCAGTGGGATTGGCTGCACTTTGCTAAAACCAGATGATTATTTTGAAAAAGGGGAGGGGAGTTGATGGCAGGCTTTACAGCTGGCACATAGCTGAATTTTGTACTCTCATGTTGTTGAAGTGTTTCCCTGAATCTTTGTAGCTAAGCGCAGATAAGTGAGTGACGAACAGCTGCTGATGGCTGTGGGCTTAAGGTTTGAGAAGTGTGACATGGGAATTCAGAACAACCTTTCCTATATGAGAGGTGCTTAGTTATCATTTGTAAGCTTCTAAAGGCTATAGCCAGCACCTAATCAAACCCATTTTTTGTGCTGGGTTTAGTGCCTTGGTGCCTGTCTTCTACTCAGTAGAAGGGGCAGGATGGACAGCTCGTGTTTGGAGTAGGCTGAAGCGTGCTTACCTGGCGTGCAGAGCAGGGCAAGGACATGCTCGTTTACTGCCTATGCTCATTTACTGCCTCTGTTGGTTACCGCTCTCTCAGATTGCTGAGGCATAGCTAAAACCAGGAAGGTTCTACAGGCAGTTGCTTTTGGTCCGGCTCTCACTGGTGACTGAGCCTGGACGAGCTGCTGTAACGTAAGACCATAGAGCAGGGCCCTGATGTGCCTCCTTTCATCAAGGCTGGGCCCCTTCAAGCAGAACTGCTCCAGAAGGGAGAGAGGAAACGCTCCCACTGCCTTTATCGGTGGTGTGACTGAACAGCCCTGGGGAAGCGCCCGGTTCTATCGGCACAGGGCGGCGCTCCGTAGCACCGCAGCACGTGTTTGCCTGTGCATCAGTGAGGAGAGAGGATGATCTCCAGCTCTGAAATGGAAAGCCACACAGGGGGCAGAAGTAAGGCAAAGACAACTGGCCAGAGATCACAACTTGTGCAAGAGAGGGAGCACAGTGGTGCCTGTAAACAGCTGTTGTCAGAGGTGAGCGCCAAATGTGCAACTTTTTTTCAATATACTGCACCCGAAACAAGTTTGGAGATGGAAGGGCTGAGGGATCTGGGGCTGTTTAGCCTGGAGAAGAGAAGGCTGAGGGGAGACCTTATGGCTCTCTACAGCTGTCTGAAAGAGAGCTGTACCGAGGCAGGGGTTGGTCTCTTCTCCCAAGTAACAAGCGATAGAACAAGGGGAAATGGCATTAAACTGCACCAGGGGAGATTCAGGCTGGATATTGGGAAGAATTTCTTTACTGAAAGGGTTGTCAGGCATTGGAACAGGCTGCCCAGGGAGGTGGTGGAGTCACCATCCCTGGAGGTGTTTGAGAGACAGGTAGATGTTGTACTTAGGGACATGGTTTAGTGGTGTTGGTAGAGCTAGGACAAAGGTTGGACTCAATGATCTTGAAGGTCTCTTCCAACTGAAACTGTTCTGTGATTCTGTGATTCTCTGAGAAGAGTCTACTTTAGACAAAGTGAATTATTCTGTATTTTCTTCCTATCTCTTCAAAACAGACTGGCCTGAACCACACAGTATTTTGCAAACAAGAACAGAAATTTTGACTACTGAAAGCATTTATGAGTAAATGTAGAATTAGTGCTCTGGAAGCAGTTAGCTGGCATAAAGAATTCAAGTACAGCTTGAAGGTCTAAGGCAGCACCGCAGTTGTACCTTGTGGAGACCCGAGCGCCACCGTGCCTTCCTCTACGGGCACCCAGGAGCAGCAGCAGCGAGGCAGAGGAAGGGCAGCGCGGGGTCTCGTCTCCAGGCTGGCCCACAACCCATCTGCCCTAAGGGTTTTCTGCCATGGCGTAGCAGGTGGCTTTGCGCACTGAGATTCAAGTATGTCCAGCGGGAGCGTTGACTTGCCTTCTGTGAAACAAACTACGTGCTATCCTTGAGTCTAAAGCCCTGTGGGCTGGAGCAGGGCTCTGCTGGAAGGACTCCTACTTAACAGCTTCCATTTCAATTAACATGGTGCAATAATACTAATCCATGCAGGTGTGAGTGGTGGGTTATATTTCCCCACGCTTGCAGGGGTAGGGAAGCGTATCAGAAGTGACTGGAGAACAAAACCATACTGAAATCAGTCATCTGGATACAGTTTAAGGGTGGCTGAAGCTCAACTGCACACACTAGGGACTGTTGCTGGCAAAAACATCGAGCCCTTCAAATTCAATTTTCTTTGAGCCGTTTGCCTTCAGGCTGACCTTTGTAACAGCTGCAGTACAGAATCGATAGGTTCTGAATTGATGCTTCTCTCTGCTGTCCCCAAGCAAAATCTGTTATTCAAAATTTTAAAAGAAACACACAGGTATTACTCAAAATTTTAATGCAAGCTTCTTTTAATTTGGAATTAATAAAATGTTTATTCTTTAATGAAAGGTATTTACAGTACCCTGCAGAAGCAGTGCAACGCCACAGTGTTTTGAGCCTATCCAGGGGCTGTGCTTTTAGTTGAGTCCAAATTCAGTGCAGAGGTAGCTTGGGCTGTAATTATTCCCACCCAGCCCTTCCTTCTGGTCCGGGCTGCGAGTGCCTGTGTGTTTCAGCTGCTTCTCGCCTGTTGCTGTCCCAGGAGCCTGGCGCAGGGGAGCCGAGCTTCCCCTCACAGCCAGGAAGCTGCTTTAACAGCCCAGGCTGGAAGAAAAAGGCAGCCAGGGGCAGCCAGCTGGCTAGTTTAAAGGTACTGTAGATCTTCAATGCTGATTAACCGATGCCCTCATGCAAGCTGGGTCTTGCCAGGCTGCTGCCCCTTTTTTACATGAGGAACCTCACACCTACGCCAACTCAAGTTTTACTGCTGCCCTGAAAAAAAGCCCTTCATGACAATTAAACGGTTACTAGTTACGTTATTAGTTGTAAGGGCTGTTTTTCAATTTCAAAGCAAAGAGTCGGGAATACGACAGAACAGGTTTTAGAAGTCTGCTTGGGGGAGAAGACATCCAAGTAATCTTTGTGCTACTTTCTTAGCCTAGCTGAACAAAAAAACCCAACCCCAAACCAGAAGGTCCCTGCGGCAGTATCTCATCGAGAGATCCTGCATTTTTCTTGCTGTCCTCTCTTGCATCTGGTCAAGAATAAGATCTAATTACATGGATTACAGTAGACTTAGTAAGGCCTGTATATGTGCTAAGCTATAAGCAATTTCCCTGCTGTTTGTCAGGGGAGTTATTCTCTTTTCTTTCTCCAAAGTTGCTCTTTTTCTACTTTCCCAACAAATTGCAGAATATCTTCAGCAAGAAGTTCAGGTTCTTCCAAAGCTGCAAAGTGGCCACCTCGAGGCATGAAATGGAAGGAAACTATGTTGGTGTATTTCTTCTGGGCCCAAGCCTGGGGTGTGTGCATGATTTCATTGGGGAAGGAGGCAATGCCAGTAGGTACTTGTACGGTGAGCCTGAGAAAGGAGAGAGAACAATTTTCATCTTTCAAACACTTAACTCTGCAAGAAATGGGAAGTCCCAAGGAAATGCTGTTCTTAAACAGTGGGCAAACTGTTGTTAGGCAATTCAAATGTGACTTCCACATCCTAAATGTGAAGACTAGACAACACACCCATTCCTGGGGGGAAAAAAAATAAAATTTTTGCATATATTGATATTAAGGCAATTTTGCAAGGGGTTCAGGGCCTGGGAGGTAGGAGCATGGAAACTGAGAAGAGAGCCCTGGAAGGTGATGTGTATCGAGTTTCCTCATGTGCATTCACGGCTCCAGAGCCCTGTATCGAGGGGAAAGCACACAGTTTGACAAGGGCTGGGGAGAGATTTACAGTGAAGATTACAACTAGAACATGTTGAGCCTGGCAGGACAACTGGAGGGTAGGCAGGGGAAGAATTACCTTGAACGGCTGCAAAGGGGGAGGAATAACAGAGATTAAATCTAGACTGTTCAGAGGAAACATTTCTGAACATGAGACCTGACCCTGTAAAGTAGCTCTTGCTTTTAACTGGTACCAATGCACTCTACAGAACATTTTCGCATTAGTAAGCGTAAGGAAGCAACAGGATTTGAGGGGAAAAGCATCTTAGAAAGTGGAATGACCTGTGCTTGTTATAAAGAGAGCAACATTTTCTAGGTTTAAATATCCCATACACCTAAGCTCCATGGCCAGATGTGACAGACTTTAAAATTTAGATACAAAAATTGTTGGGCACATGACCACTGGAAGCCTGAAAACAGGGAGCCTAATTTTACATAGGACTTTGAGACTCTCTCCTCTAGGTCTGTAGAAGCTCATATAGCTCATCTCACGTAGGCAGAAGCGGAGCAGGATGCTGCCCACAGTGTAGCCACAACAGCTTCAAGAACTGAGTCAGTTTCCTGGGAGCACCTTTTCACAGCTAAATAAATGCCACGGCAGTGAGAGGTGGTTGCAGATACCTCAGGGCAGGTTTAAGCCTTTGCTAATACTCAAGCTGACACAAGTAGATGCAACCAAGCTGCTGTCTTAAGTGCCTGTGCAGCAGGAACATCAAATTAGCATTTGTCAGTATACTGAAGTTGCTTCCAAAGGTAGGACTTAAATCTTTTGCAGAAAAAGGCAAATTGTGTCCAGAAAAGTACTAGAACTACAAATAAACTGTAAACAAACAAACCTGACTGCGTGACTCAGTCACAGGCTGATGTAGTAACTGAAGTAAAGTCTGGAAGGACTTGCACATGCTTTTGCCTAGTTGGGTAGACTGTGAAGGGGAGGTCCTCAAGCGGCGCCTCCAGTCAGATCTCCCTACTGATGGTTCAGGATTCTGACCTAATTACCGTGTTTTCCAAGCACAACACCGTACATCAACTAACAGACCTGTCCTGTAGAGGAACACTGCAATACAGCATTACTTTTCCTCAGCATTCACAAACTTGCAGCAGTTATAAGACATGAGCAACCCTAACATTAAGTTCAGGGCAAAATATTTAAAGAAAAAACCCACACTTACCTTTCATGTTTCTGTGTGCCTATCCCCTTCTGCACATTTTCTTTGTAGAAACGCATTGAGGAGACTATACAGCCTGACACCCAGTAGATCATGATATTGGTGAGCAGATCATCCAGGTTAAACTTCCTGAATAGGTAAGCACAGAGATTGCTTAGTTAGAACTGAACACCATTTTGTGTTACTTTAGCAGGGAATTGACTTGGGTTTGGTTGTAAGAAAAAAAAGTTAAAGGAAAAAATAGTTAATTTGGTTAAGAAGAGTTGAGAGGCGAGGTGTGCTACTCCCCCTCTGTCAGTGACCAATTAAGCACGTTAAAGGCTTTCAGGCACAAACTGGGAAGTGACGTTTTAACTCCTACACGGAAGGCAGACTCCAACAAGCACTTGAGCAGCACAGCTGTCTGCACTGTCCGTGGACTGGGAGGGCGGGAGCAGAAGAGCACATGGAAGAGCTTGTGCCATTTATTATTCGTAACCTGAAATGCTGCCGTGAGCCTTCAGCAGAGCCATCGCACACCACGTGCTGTAAACGGTGCACGTTCCGTATCAGCATTAGCTGTGCCGGGCAAACACCCCATTTGCATCGGTGGTCACTGGACCTTTCCGTAACATGGCCCTTTGCCCCGTTCCTGCCAGGTACCCCTCAGCCGTCTGCAAAGCGGACTTCATCTCAGATTTCTACCCGCACTAAGAACGATCCTTGATTAGCAAACGGCAGGTAGATGAAGCAACGCTGATCAATCTAAAGCAAATTCATACAGAGTTAAGTATTAGTGTTAAAAAGAATCACGAGTTCTGTTCCTTAGCATCTTAATGCAGGTTGAACTTTCGTTTTTCTGTCCTAAATGAGATTCTGCCACTGAAGTCAGTTTTTAATACCCAGAAGTTGCAGGGTGTTATCTCTTTTCTAGGAGAAAAAGGTGGGAAGGGAGTCCATCAGCCTTCGTGGCCTGTTTGTTTGCTCCTTTGTGTGCTGTACTACACCATTTGTAGTCACTACAGGCTCCCTAGGAGGTCTAAGGCGATCAATTCAAACAAAGTTCTTTAGCTACGGCTCTGGGCTTAGCCACCTCACCCAACACAGCATAAGAGGAAACACTTACCTCTCTAGTCCTCCATCCTCTAAATTACGGAATTCCAGATCAGTCCACGTAGAGAACTTCTCCAAGATGTACGCGGCCAGTCCTACAGGAGAGTCATTCAAACCACAGCCTGAAAAGGAGAAGGAAAATTTAACTACCACTGCGATATCTGACTACTGAGCTCAGACTGTTGTAGAAGCGGCCCGTTATATATAACACAGGGTAGATAACGTTACAGAGCTGTTGCAGCAGCTGCGTTCTTAAATAAATAAATAAAATAGTAGAACAAGTTGGAGCCCTTTATTGCTGAATCATAACCTGACAGTATCTGCAAACCAACAGGCTCCCCATTAGCTCACACTGTACGGTTTTTGAAGTGCTGCAACAATATTGGATTTCTGCTGGCTTTTTTTTTTCTTGTAAGCTAATAAGATTAAGCTGTACATGCCAAGTATGGTTTGCTTCCATTAATCTGGAAGCCGTCGTGCATTAAACAGCATTACAGGGCCAAACCCCACATGCCTACACATGGCCAGGAGAATTTGCACCATTATCTAACAGCAAAAACATTTTAAGGATTATTAGAAAGTCATTAAGGAAGAACAAGGTTTTACTACAAGGTCCATCTTCTCAGTTAGCAATAACCAACTGCCTTCATGTAGAACAAGGCTTAATATACTTTTTATAGTTTGTTTTGCTTGGACAGAAAAACACACCTGCCCCTGGAACTTTGCTAATACAACCTAGTGCTGTGAAATACAGGGACCATAAACTGTCCCAGCTGCTCAGAAAAAGCTTTTCCTGAGGAACAGCAATGTATTTGAAGTGGAACTCATGCAACCCAACCTTCCTGAAAGATGCCTAAGGCTACAGCTAGCACAATTTCTTCAGTAATTGCTATTGAAACATATTACTTGTTTGATAAGTGAAACTCAACTATCATTGATAACCAAAATACCAAGTGTTTGAAAAAGTTACACTGAGCACGCTTTCCAGATCTGCAGAACTAGGTGAGCAGTAGCCTGTTCTCATACACTTACTGAGAACAGAAGAGTACATCGGTTTACATACAGGGAAAATTGACATTGATCCGAACAGTACTTTGAATACAGGCCCTGCCTAGTGCAGTCACTTGAAAATGAACCTGCTCCACGCATGTTTCCCAAGAAGTAAGTGTAAAATCAAATCCATGCAAGCCAGTTCGATCAAAAGCCAGCTCTGAAGCAATCAACAGTACAGGATTAGCAAGTGTAGTACATAGATCTCAAAAGCCAGAGACAATTTCCTCGCTTAGGAGAGCGCACAAGATAGACCTGTACCACCAGAAGTCTCAGGACGGCTCTGGTGGCCTCCATGGCTGTGCTTCTTCCAGCTGCCCTACACTCCTTCTACAGAGTGTTCTATCTCCCAGCGGGAACCTGCCACCTGCCACGCTCCTCTCTGCTTTGTCCTCAAAATTGCAGGAGTGCTCCTGCTCCAGCTCCCAAAACATGAACCGGCTGCTGGTTCCCAGTCCGCGCAGTCCACTCTGCCAGACCATACAGCACTGGTAGGGACAAGAACCAGCCAGAAAACCACAGCAGAAGGAGCATGGCTAGGCATCTTTTAGCTACCGGCTCCCCCATCTTTTCTTAAAGAACAAAAGGAATTAGAGACTAGTAATTTTTAGAAACCAAAACTCAAAGGAAGCAATATTATTTAAAATCCAAATATCACTTTGCCTGCACATTTTAAGGCTATACTGGCTTGTAGGTAAGCTTAGGGAAAACCATTAAGAAATCATTTCCTTAGCTATGTTTTTAATAAAACCCCTGAGTGAATTGCTGCTGCACTGCACTAAACTAAAATATATTCAGTATTCTTGACTCAGTTGCAAAAGATATTTTTAAAATAGAAACAGTTAATACTCCGATACTTAAAGCAGTCAAGCAATCTGAGTGACTAGCTCACCTAGAAAACACACTTATAGGTACACTTTTTTTTTTTCCTTGAAAGTCTGCAAATGATTCAGAACAATGAGTGAAAACAAAATTTGATTTTACTTTTCAGGTATTACTTACGCCTATAAATAAGCTACATTGCCTGCTGAGACAGTTAAAAGCTTCTCATCTTTTACATCATTTGAGTGTGATCCATTCTCTGGGCAGAACTATCTTCTGCGCTCAGTGTAGCTGCATTTGAAATAGAATTACAGTCCCCAGTGACAGCAGAAGTGGAAAAGTATTAAATAAACTATTTTATTTGCAAAAACTGAAACGAGGTCAGTGGCACTTAGAGCATGCCCTATTTTTATGGGTGGATTTACCGCTTCTACATACAAAAGTCAGTGTAACGCTATATACCCACATGTAACCTTCTCTGACCTGGATACAGAAAAGGAGCCCACCTTTTAACACCTCTAACCTTCCTGCTTCAATGCCCCAAAAAAATATTTTCTACATATTTTAAGCAGTACGTTTTGTTCGTATGAAAGCAGAACTAAACCAAACAGACTAAGTATTCTGAGCTGAAAAGGCTGGTTTGTTTGTTTCTTTTACCAACAGTATCAGGCTTTGTAGCCTGTATGTGCGCATAGCCAGACTCCAACAAGATCCTGTAGAGCCCTTTTTCCAAGAAGGGAAACATCCGTCTAACATCTTCATCCTGGAAACCGAAGAGCCGTGGAAGGTGGCGGCCCAGCAGGATGGAGAGCAGGTGAATGAATCCCATGTTCGTAACTGAGGCTAGATTTAAATGGAGGCCTTTCACATGGCTGCAAACAGAAATGGAAAAAGCCCCCACAAATTAACAAAACCAAAATATGATTCAAAGTTGTTACCTTTAAAATGGTATTAACAAAAATGTAATTCCGGCCCGCTATTACATCATGACCTTAGCTGTACTTTGTAGTGGGGCTTTTCACCAAAAATGAGAAGTCAAAGGGGCAACTGTCAGTAATCAGCACCCACTTCTGGGCACTAAGCCACAAATCCCCTTTTGTTACAAGTACCTATCCCACTCCAGACCCCAGTGGGGAAACCACTGCACAACTGTTTGAAAGAACAGGTATACAGTATAAACCAAAGCGTGTAATTTTGGATCACTGCTTAACACTGAGCACTGAAGGGAGAAACTACACACTCCTTGTATGAGGACTTGGACAGGAACTCTCAAGTGCACAGGAAATAACTGTTCAAAGCCTAAAGCAGCTTTGCATGCCAATCATGCAGCAGTGTACCAAAGGGGTACTCACCTGGGAGCTATCTGGGCCAGATTGGTGCAGATGAGCCAGCCCCAGTCACCACCTTGTGCGTAGAACTCGTTGAATCCCAGTCTGAGCATCAATTCATAAAAAATAGAAGCGGCACTTACAGAATTAAAGTCTGCATTAAAAAAAAAAAAAAAAACAAAAAACAACAACAAAACCACTGTTGTATTAATTCCAGCTACACTTCTGACTGTGCAGCATTTATTCTCCCCATAAAGGTAACGTCCAAGTTCCTAAAAAGCCAAGTCCATTTTTCCTTGCCTGTCTGACAGACTATATGCAAGCCCCTGTCACATCATCCAGATGAGGTCTAGAGAGCAAGCAGAAACCATGAGGAGAAAGTCCAGCCTTCGTTGCAGACTAGGGTTCTCCTAACGCCGCCAGCTGCCCACGCGCTTGCCCCCCCCACACAAAGGGGTTGCCAGGCTCCCTTTAAACCGTAGTCATACCCTGGCTGAGCCCTGCTGAGGCACTCAGCATCGCCCAGGGAATGTGCTTCCATTTTGTCTACTGTGAGCACAGTCTCAACTTAATGACAGCTGGAAACTTGCAAGTTTCCAGTAGTAATGCCCTTCACTGAACGCTGACCACATAAATCATAACCAGGGAAGTAGAGAAAAGCAAAACCAACCCTCCCCACATTGTTCATCTGCACACATAATTAAATACTAAACTCAGTATCACTTTAAATACTACCTTGCTCCAATTTGTTGCAGCTTGTGTTTGTGTAACTCAGAGCACAAGCTGAACAAGGAGGTATTTGGCTGCAGTCTACCACATAGATACACAAATTGGTTTGTTTCAACTGTTGCTTCTCACCTACCTGTATAATGCTGTTGAATATGGATTCCAAACACGCAAAAGGAAGAGTAACAAATTAAGTTTACTCTTCCTGCTCACCCACACACAATTCATTGACTCAATTACAATTCATGAGTTGTCACTTCATAACTTTTTAGTCCTTTGTAAATTATGGATACATTGCTCCTGAAACTACTTAGTGGTGTCACCTGAAGTCACACTCTTATCTCCCTCTTCACACATAACACACAGGATCTTTGTTTCTACGCTGGGAAAAGAAGAAGTGCCAGGAGTTACTGTTCTGCTAACAGGGACTGTCTCGCTGTGAGACTAGGCTTGTGCTAGTTCAGTTTCTTTTCACACATCATACCTTTTTTGTGGGGTGCTTCTGAGAAACCATAACCAGGGATAGATGGGCAAATGACTTCAAAAATGTGTTCAGCACTGAGGCCATGGCTTGCAGGATCCGTCAGGAGAGGGATAATTTTGTAAAACTCGTAAAAGGAGCCAGGCCAACCATGGACCATTAATAATGGCTTTGCAGACTGGCCTTCAGGCAAACAAGGAGGCTTTACGTGAACAAAATGGATATCAATGCCTGTAAAAACAAAATAATTAATTAACATGCCCAAATTTACCATGACACTGAAACTAATCACAGAACAGATTATGAATAAGTCTTTTCTGAAGTCCTTTTTTGGTGAGCCTGCAAACACACTGCACTTCTCTGGATCCATTTATCCAAGGACCTTTATAATGGGCAATTAAGCATCATGGCAGCCAAATGAGGTCGGCATATTTCTGGTTTAAAACAAATTATCAAATTAAGGCATAGAAGTGAAGCAATCTACTAACGGTAACACAGTGACTCACACAGCTTAAAGGCAGAAGAGATGATTACATCATTTAGTCCAAGTGCCCTTAAATTTCACCCAAATGTCCCTACACGGCACCAGATAGGCTTCAGCCAACCACAGATTTTTCTTCCTGAAAGGCACACAATTGCAACTTGAAGGCTTCAAGAGACAGGGAATCCATCATAAATAGCACCTGTTTGTTTGGGGGTGTTAATCACTTTCCTTGTTCTGTGCATGCCTTACTTTCCATTTGAACATGTCTGGCTTCTGGCTTCTGCCTCCAGCCGTTGATCCCAATGTTACAGCAAAAGGAATTTAAAAAGCCTTCAGTAAGTATTCTCTGTCTATGGAGGCATCCTGTAACCAAGTCACACATCTTAACTGCTGATAAATCGATCATGCTGAATCAAGGATTTGAAAAAGTGCCCTGCTAAAAGCGAGCTGAGGTGCTCAATTTTGTAGTTTTCTGCCTTTTGTCCAAAGCTTTCAGTATCTCTTTAAGTGAGTAAACCAAACCAGGAAACTGTTCTAGTACCAGTCTCCTCGTTGTTAAGTGAAAAGGTAAAAATTGCAGTCCTGTTTCCTTTGTGATCCTTACAGTATGTAAGCAGTAGGTTTCACACAGGGTTGCACTAGTTGCCTCAGATGAACTGCTTTTCCTCAAAGCCATTCAGGGCTTTGCTTTCCAGGAAACAATAACTGGTTCTTAGTAGAGCCTCAATGCCTCATTTCTTGATGTAGTTAAGCACATTTTACTGACATCAACTCCAGCTCGACAGCAATCCCACTCTCTTTCGCTGACTCAGATTTCCCCATCCTTGACAATTCTGTGGATTTCTGTATTCTCTGAAAAACTTTCAAGTGATGACAGAAGCTAGGAATCTGATATACGGCATGTTTGGTCTTGCCTTTTCACATTTTCACATCTCATCTCTGTAATCATTCCTAACATTGAAACTTCTCTTCCTATTGCTACACATAGTGCATTGTCCTTAGCTTCTCTTCCCTTTCTTGTCTCAGACGATATATCTTTTTTTTTTTTTTCCTAAGGGAAGACTTTTTGCTTTTATCTTTCTCAGCACTAACCATGTTGTATACATTTAAATAAAATCTTTATGTTCTAACCACTATGTGACAACTGTTTATTGTCCCAAATCCATTTTAAGCATTACAGTGAACTGCCCTGATTGAAATAACGTATAATTATGGTGCAAGTAAAAACGTAATAGCATAATCTCAAGCTTGTATTTTGCCATCACGTGAGACAATTGCCTGCTGTGCTCTGAATCTACAACTGTACCCCAAAATGACCCCAGCACAACCCTAACTCAAGCATTTAAAATGTCCGGTCTAAAACGTCTCCAGCACCAGCAGTGCTCAGCTGAATGGCCTCTTTCAAAAGGTGTCTGTGCTTTGAGTGAAAAGACAAACCCTTCACTCACTCACACCTGGCAGCACGTCAGCCCCAAGGAAAGGCATTCTGCATTTCTAGGCCTATGAATCCTTGCAACGGTGCAGCAGAGCACACCTGCCCTGCCAAGCAGGGACAACCCGAGCGGCCAGCACACCCAGCTGAGGAGGGCTGCCAGACTGATGGCATCATCATGACAGCAGCAGCTTGGGAACTACAAGGAGCAAGAGGAGGCATCTGTGGGTATTTTTGCGTGATTGCACGCAAGTCAGGGAACACATGTACATCTTGAGATCCCGTTCTGTTTTCAAATGCCCGTGCTTGGCTCCTGTTGACATCAGATGACAACCGATCCATGCACAAGGGAATTCCATTTGTCATTCTTCATCCTAAAGGCTTCAGTTACGATGAAGGAGTTTCTCACTGCTCCAGCAGCGGTGCCAGTGATCCACGCCGTGGCAGCCAGGGACGGAAAGTCCACGCGACACAACCATTGCATTCTTACCACTGAGATCCCTTGTGGACAAGATTATGTATTACTGTTTGCTTATTTTCTAAAGGAAAAAGACACACACCTTGAATCTTAGTTTTGAATTGTGGGTACTTGTTGAGGATTTCAACTTGTTTCTTCCAGTTGAACTGGTTTTTCCAGTAGGAGACAACCTTCCTGAGATACACGGTGTTAGTCCCATAATTGAAGCAACTGCTCTCCAGTGGCTCAGTGAATCGAGCCTGGTCAAGTCTCCTGAATAAGTCCTATAGGAAAAAAGAAAGAAGAGACATTACAAGCACTTGTGCCTGCCACCCTGTGCAAGCTCTACCGTGCGTGGTTTCTAGTTATTCCCAAGTGAAACAAGAACAATGAAAATAGCATCTCTGATGACATCTGTGCATTTTGCTGATGCTTCATAGCTGTTCCAATTCTTTTTCTCCTCCAGATGGCCACCTTCCTCTTCCATTTACAGCTGTTCTTAACACTCTGTGTCTTTGTTTTGCAGGGCTGGCTAATCTGTTTGCTAGGCTGATAACCACCGAGGACAATACACTCTTCTGACAGTACCATGGCTTCACAGTTTAAGTCTTGTTGCTTTTCCACGGTACCTTGTTCCCCAGGTTACCTGTGAGCCCAACGTCACAGTCAATGCATGGATCTGGCCCAGACCTTTTGCTCTCCTTCCCAAACCAGGGGGCTGGATGTCTTCACTGGGAAACACTGCGAGGGATTTCGCATGGTCACAAAGTTGGTGAAACTAGACTGGAACTGAAGTTTCCTACTGTAGAATAACTATGGAAGTGACCTTCCCAGTGCTCTTCGAGGTTACAGGGTTTACTGATGATACTGCAAAATGAGTCCAACATCACTCAGCTGGCAAGGACAGCCAAGAGCCCCTTCCTACTGTGAACAAAGGCACAGAATAGTTGCAGCTGGAAGGCAGGTCTGGAAATCTAATCCTGCTCAGACCTCCATGGGGTTTAAACCTGAACAGCATTTTCTAATATAGCAACAGAGATACAGCGCTCACTCTGACAAAGATGAGTTAGGTGCATGCACTGGCTCATGCCTCGCACTGAACGGGCAGTCTTGGTCTAGGCAAGATGTTAGGCTGTCAGCTCACTGTTTTGGCACTGTTTTGGCATTTAACAGTGTACTGTTATGAAGTTTTTTAACAGTGTACTTAAATGAAGTTTTTAACATGTCTTTACATACACACTTTTTGTCTGTGCTCGACACCTTTTAAAAATGTTTTAGTAATGTACACTAGCATAACTTTAACTCCTAGTTTACGTAAGAATGTATTTAGAATCAGTTTTCTACCAATGGATTATGTTGCAGTAGCTGTCATAATACAGAATTGCATGTTTCAAAAACATCTGTAAGTTAGAAATTACCTAGCTTTGTGTCGGCAGTGTAAGGCGAAAACATACTGGTGATCAATGTCCATTGATATTACTAAGGAGGGCAAACAAAGTGTTAAAAAACCCAGGCCTTACTGAGAAAATAGGAATCCATTATAAATTAATAATATGAGCAATCCCATGAGTACTGTTTCAATCACTACTCCACACAGATGTATGAAATTGTGCAATCCCCAACTTAAGCACACACAATCAAAATCTTGCTATCTAACAAATTCTGCAACGTATCTGTTTACTGTAATTACCACTGTGCTATTAGTGTTGACCAAAGCAGATCATTAATTACAGAAGAATCAGCATCCAACACAGCTGCAAACATAAAGCAGTCAAGAAAATGAGATATTCATAATTGCTTTTGAAAGAAAAAAAGAAAAAAAAAAAAGACATTGTTCTTATTCTGGTCTACACAATCAAACTGAGGAAAGTGCACAAACAGGGACGGAGAGTTAAGTAATCTGTAATATGATTTTTATGTTTATTGGGCTTTGCAGAGTAGGTTTATTTACTAGCAATCTTGCAACAGCCAGCTGAGAACAAAATTGTATAGCAGGATGTGAAATCTGCCTATGCATACCTATCTTCTGAAGCACTGAAAAATCCCTTCACCCAAGGCCTGGACGTGATTGCTCATTCTCATAAAAGTAACTACTGGTTCAATTTTAAAATTATTTCCAAACAAGTTCTACATTTATTTGGCCATTTCTTTCTTCTTTCTCCCCAGTATAGAGATTTGCTTACGCTCAGCTCTTCTTCTGTAGTTTCCACCTTAAATGGCCAAATAGTTGTATCTTCTTCAGCATCGGGCTTTTGTCCCTTGCCCCACCATCCCTCTTCGAAGGGTAACGTCTCTTCTTTCTTCTTGGAAAATAAGAAGTAGATGACGATTGTCCCCAGAACCAGGAATACTTCAAGCAGCATAATGCCTGCAAGAGAAGGACAGAACTCTGGTAAGCCCAACCAGATAGTTCAGAGACATGCGACGTGCTTTGTAAAGACTGTAGAGGTTTACTCGCTTTTAAAGATAGGATTCGATCCACGTGATGTTCTGTCACTCACAGGACATCAACATTTCTGAAAAATTTCAGAAATAGGATGTTTTAACCTACATAACTTAAATGGAGGCGGAAGTAAGTGTTTTACATAAAAGACACTTAGTAAAAACAGAACTCAAAGCAAGTCCAGAGATCACATGGCTTGGTAATTAAATAGTCCTCTGATTAAACACGCCACTCTGGCTTCCTCAGTGGCCGCTGATTGCTGCTGAACTTCAACTTCAACTGCTGCTGAAGGAGGTGACTGTGGATATAATTCAAGTTTAACGCTTTCTCTTCCTCTGAAGACCTAGATTTCCCACCAATTCCAAAGCAGAGCATCTCTTCAGTAAGGCTCACATATCTATTGTTACAGATTTGGAAGGAAAAGAACCCCAAGACATATCTAAAGAATAGAAAGTGAAGAGCGTGAAGGCAGCCACCTCGTGCCTCCCAATCAGCCTGGGGGAGTAGGGCAGGGATATATTTACACAACCCTTGAACAGCAGTGTAAAGGGTAGAAGGACCTTCCCTTTCTCCCTCTGAACAGGGAGAAAACAAGAGACCACATGCATGCTCTCCTAGCTCTAAAACAACCTTTCCCAAGTGAGAAAATTCAGTCAAAGTGAAAAACAACCTGATTTCACAGCATATCTGCATAACCCAACTGCAGGGCTGCTGTGCTTTAGTCAAACAGCACAGATTCACCAAAAAAAAAAAAAAATTAAAAATCTATGTGAACGGTTTCATGTTGCAAGTAGAAAAAATAGTTACTCAGACTCTCTTTAATAATTAATGTTTTCAAGTATCCCTTTAAGTATGAGAAATGTTTGTAACATGGTTTGAGGAACAGTACTGTCATCATTTTAATGCATAGTTTTAAAGAATGTCATGTTTCCAACACTCTTTTGCTGGAGAATTGAGAAGACATGAAGTATTTCAAAACTTCTGTAAGGCAAGCAGTATTTGTGACACAGAACAGTGTTCATTCTCTCCAGAGCTGGAAGGTTTTGTTGGTTTTGCTGCTGCAGAGTAACTTGATGTTCTGAAATTGCTCAAAGGTATTCCTGGATCAAAATGGGCATTGTAACACAGGTTAATGGGAGTTCATGTGATTGTAGCAGGAGTAAAATTGACCTGTCTTGTAAGTGCCCTTATGTGACAGGACACATTTTAGCCAACCTCTTGAGTTTAATTTTCTAATGCCTGACAATGAATAAATAAATAAATAAAATGGTCAAAATAAGCACCCACTGAAACATTTGTAGAGAAGTCAGGCACTATGCAGACAGGACAGCAAGCTACAGAAATATATTGCTTAGACATGCAAGTGCTACAGCCTTGAAAAGTGACCTGAAATTCCTTAATCCTCAGAGGCTAGAGAAATGGCAATGATAGGCACTGAAAGAACTTGATCTGTTTATTCATTTCACTGGTCTTTCCACAATTTCTGTTGTTTGAGGAGGTGCTAATTTTTCTCCACAATGTTCTCTGAAGCACATGACAACAATCTTTTCCCACCTCCACTAAACTCAGGCCATAACTTACCCCAAAATTTAAAAGTTTGTCCAATTTCAGCTTGCCTCAACACATAAACCAATGCAGTCTAGGAGCCTCCAGAGCACAATTAAATTTTACTGCGAAGCAGAACTGGAGGGGCTTTTAGAAACCTCAAAACACTTTACATAGAAATAGTACCTGCCACAGTATTTAATAGCATTTCTATTACTAAGTCTTCACAGAGAAGAACAGCAACTTCCCTGAAATCACAGCACAACTCAGGCCATGTCTAGACTACAAAGGTTCACCAGCATAACTATGTAAACACCACAATATGAAAAATTCAAACTCTTGGCCAACTTCAGGATGTTTACAAAGCCCCATGACAAGCACCCATGCCAAGAGAAACGAGAGCTGCTGTCAGCACCAACCCCGTCGTTCAGGCAGGATGGCTGGGGTACCTAGAAAAACAGAGGACTCTTTCTCCTGGCATATGCAGTATCAGCACCATCACCTCCACCAACACGGCAACAGAGGCACAGCACCTAACACAGCTTTACCCTGGAATGGAATCCCCAGCCATTCTCTAGCAAGAAACTCACACGTCCTAGGTCACTGCAGTATCCAGGTCTACAAAAATGTTTATGCTTCCCCCATCTCCTCTCAAGGAGACTTGAGAAATCAGAATTTTTGCAGCAGAAGACATGGGAGGGATTGCATGTAAACATGCGTACCTTGCATTTGCCCTGGACTGTGTGTACAAAGAACTCACTAGGTGAAAAGATCCCCATTTTTCCAAACAGACTTTAGGATAAGCTTGTTTACAGTCCAGCAATAAGCACCAAAATCAGTTTCAGGTCTCACGTAAGTTCTGTCTTCTAGCATGGAGAATTGGGGCTGGTGACAAATCAATTTGCATGAGATGTCATTTTGACTTAGAAGAAGCCATCTCTGATACTGGTTGGATTATTTTTTGCTAATACAGAGGGATCCCAAGTTGCTCTCTATATTCAATCTCTTTCAGTTCCCTTGAAAGTGCCTGTAAAATTCCTAATTACCACGAACATAGGGGCCTAGAGCTCCAACTACACTACATTTTTTTCCAAGTGCATAGGAGGAAGAAGAGAAAGGACAAAGTGCGTCAGCAGCATTTTAACTTGCACCAGTTCACAGCACACTCAAAGGGGTTGCTTTGCTGGTGAAGAGTTACTGGAACACAGCACATTCCTACCAACCTCTCCAGCCTGTGCTGAGAGGAAACCACTTAGAGCAAACACACTCAATGATTTCCCAAGTTTGCTATTCAAGCCAGTTCTCTAAAACTCCTGTGTGTTGAGAAACATAAAGCTGCCTCAGTCGTGATGCATCTGCACTAGAATTTCCTCCCCTAGTCACTACTGAGCTGTTGCGAGATGGAAGTTGTTAGCCCCTTACACTTCTTCCATGATACTGCAGTATAGCACCACAAATGTGGAAGGAGAAACAGGTACAATAAAACTTTTCAATACTTGCATTTTTCAGAGATGTAAACAACAAAGTGCTGGTGTTTTTATTCTCCGAAGTCTCTCGATGCAACCATGCTGGCATGTTCCTTTTAAAAATGACTACTTCAAAGGGAGTTCATGTTTTGGTTTGGCTTTTTCCTCTTTTTATGCCACCAAAGGCAAGACCTTAGAAGGAAATATTTCCATTTATTCCATGGTCAAGTACTTAGGCTCCAAGACTTTGCTGTACCCCAGGGTGGATACTGTTTGTACACAGCACTTAAATACCTTAGACAGTACTTTTATCCTAAAGAGTCCAAGGAAGAATGTTTTTGTTTTGCTACTTTAAAAACAAGTTTTGAAAGAAAAATGTTGAAGTGTGATGGATCCAGTAAATAGCCCAAAAAGTAGCTGCTCTTGAGGAAGGCCAAGTGCATCTCAAGAAATACACTGTTTGCAAGAAAACCCCAGAACTTCCTTACAGTATCTTACTGCTCCTTGTTGAAAACACTCTTGTTTTTTTCAGCATTTTTTGCATTTTGGTTTGCACTGTCCTCTGTTCATGCATTAACAGCAGAGCGAATAGCTCCACAGGAACAGAGTGATTATTATTTACATCAAAGCTATGTCCTGTCTCATGCCCTGTCTTCATCACTATCCAGTAACAGATGCCCCAGAAAACAGGGCTATTTGTTTTTTAGAGAGGTCATCTATGAAACAGCTTAATGGTAAAATCCCCATCTTGTTCTACTAGTAATCATTGACCTTTGCCTTGCAGCATTAGAATCCATCTGAAACATGTTATCGGAGAAATAAGCAACTGGAAGGACTTTCAACCTAACATCTGGAAACCTGTTTTGGCCCAAACACTATACAGCCCAGCTACTATGACTTGAATGACACACAATACCCAAACTCTGAGTGGTGCTATGAAGCTGTATCAGTGCAAAACAGCTAGCGCGTGGGTGAGGCACAAGCTCTACGAGACCGTGCTGCTTTCAGACACAGGCCAGAGGTGATCATGGTTTAGAGTTCATAACATTTTCTCTCCAAGGCTGGTTTACTAGCAGATCGCAAGGTAGCTCAGAGCACTTAGCACACTCTGATGCTGTCAGATACAAGGTTTATTGATTAATAATTACTCTGCAGGAGAAGTAACAGCTCAATTTAGAAGTGATGTTTCTGTTTATTTTTGTTCAGTTACATAAACTCCCCCATTAGGTTTGCTGAAAAGGCACCCCTCTGCCACAGCGTCTTTGTTTACAGATCGGTTCATTTGAAGAGCAGCAATTGCAGGTGACTCCTCCCAACAGATCTGAAGGCAAAACAACCCACTGAAGGACTTCAAAAACTCATGGCACCTTAGCAGTGTCCCCTAGCGCCGACAACCCAAAAGGGACTAAGACATGGCATAGTCCCAGAAGCTTCATCCTCAGTCCACGTCCTGCCATCTCTGGGCATCACATTTTTGTCACTATGTAACACCAGAGACAGACAGAAAACCATGAAGTGAAGATGTTTGTGTAAGAAAAACTTCCTATTTATGTAGTTTATGGAGCATTATGACAACCTGCAAAATAGCTTAGCAACGCAGGAATTGCTTTGCATACAGCTGATAACATCTCCCAGGTGAGCATAAAATGATACTTTTGACGTTGTAGGAAAGAAGGAGAGGTAGGCATCCCATGAAATAAAGCATCCTACGCAGAGAAGCAAATCAAAGACAGGAAATCAAATCCACAGAGTTTCTGGCTTGTCTCGATAAGAAATTTAGCATTTACATTTTTTATTGCCATAGGGAGGTGGCACACAATGCTATCTCCAAAACAGCAGGAAGAGATGATATCATCCTGCTCCACAATCTTTTTCTAGACTGTTTGCAATCAGGAATTAGCCAGTACAGCAG